CATACATACAACCAGCGTTAAACAGAATGAGTAGGCTGGGTGGTGGTGGCGCATGCCTTTAATCCCAGCACTCAGGAGGCAGAGGCAGGCGGATCTCTGTGAGTTGGAGGCCTGGCTGGATCAACAGCCTCCAAAACAATACAGAGAAACCCTGTCTCATAAAACCAAAAAGAAAAAAAAATAGAACGAGTAGATTTACTTAGGAATGTACATGCATGTAAGTATGTGCATTTACATCAATTAATGAAGAAAGAGGCCATGAAATCATGTGAGAATATGTTGGTTAGCTCAAATGTGGTAAGAAAATCACCACATTCACACTTCGTGATTCCCCCTGCCACACACACACACCCGGCTCTCCCTGTCTTCCCTTCCTCTTTTGTTTTCTGTTTTCCTCACCTGTGAGTGTGTCCTGGGAAACCCAAATCTTTTCCAGTTCTGTGAATCACATAGTTTTACTCTGGTTTGATTCCTTACCCCAAACCACTGAGCCAGACCCCCAGCACCCAAGGAAAATCTACCTGCAGAATGATAGTTCCCCATTAATAGAACTCCTCCCTCAGCAGAAACAGACATACGTTAGTTTTCTCCGTCTTATTTTCTCCAGACTTGAATGTAAACATAATGTTCAGCCATTTTTGAATATATGACATGACTTAAAATCAGGGTGCACTGATGGGGAGGTCCTGCTTATATGTCAATAAAGCTCTGTTGGCCAATAGGGAAGCAGGATATGTGGGACTAGGAGTCTAGGAGGATTCTGGGAAATGAAGTGAAGGGATTCGTCGCCATGCCATCTTCCTGGGAAGAGGACGCAAGTCTGCGTTCTCGGTAAGATCAGGCCTTATAAAAATATATATATTTGTAATTATGGGTAAATAATTACGTCAGCACCAGTCGAATAGAATCCATAGCAAACGGCCAACAGCTTCATAATTAATATAGCCTCCTGTGTGTTCATTTGGGACTGACATGTCACAGGGGCCTAGGCAGGATCCTGCAACAGGGCACATCTAGTGTAATAGTTTTTCAGGGTATTTAAAGAAGTAATTAAAAGAAAGCACATGGCACCCAGTCCCTGATACCACATGAAAACACCTCCACACCTTTGGGATCCAACTTATCACTCGGAATTACCAGTATTTTCACCACTTCTGCCTTTTTTTTATTGCTCTGTGAATAACTGGAAGACACAGTTTCTGTCCTATTCAGCTGTAAACCAAGAGCAATCTGTGAAGAGCTAATAGAAAGCACTGAGTACTTGTATCCTAAAAGAATGAAGGGCTGTTTCTTATTTCTGGGGCTATAATTTTAGTTAAGCTTTCAAAAATAAACTTTAATATTTATAAGGCATTGTTTATACAGCACTCTACTTTTGGGTTGATTTATGTGATAAACCACATCTAGATGTCTATAAAGTTTAAGACTACCCATGCAGCGTCTTGGGCATTTTATGTTTTGTTTTTATAGTTACTTCTAGTCCTTAAAAATCTCTGAATATATTTTTTTTCCAATACTAACATTAGCTAAGGGGTTGAAAGATGCCCAGCAAACTGTTCTAACAACAGTACCCCATTTCTTCCTTCTGGGCACTTCATAGTCAAAGTGTGCCTTTATTAGCAAGTCTAATTTCTAAGTTCTGGGAACTGCTGAAGAACCAGAACAAACAAGAAAGTAGAGTTAGATGAGTAGAATTATATAATTATACTAGCACTTAGCCCATTTCATTTATCAAATATGGAATCCTTGGGTTACAAGTCAACATAAGGATATCTAGTTTTTTTTTTTTTTTGACTTTTCAAGACAGGGTTTCTCTGTATTATTTTGGAGGCTGCCCTGCTGTCATGGTACTCACTCTGTAGACCAGGCTGGCCTCAAACTCACAGAGATCCACCTACCTCTGCCTCCCAAGTGCTGGGATTAAAGGCATGTGCCATCAATGCCCAGCTAGGATATCTAGTTTCTTAATGCATGGATCTCTTGCATACTAACTCTGACAAATTTGTTAAATTTTTAACTTTGGGGTCTAGGCTCTGAACCTAGATTCAACCTCGTGTGAAATGGGGATAAAGGAACGTGCTCCTGCATTTCTCCCTTAAAGCACCTGTAGGATGGTAATCTTCACTAATCACAATGAGCTACATGACTTTTGGTTTCAAAAGACTCCAGCTTTCATAATATATTAATTTTCAACAATCCTTTCTTTCAAGAGTTTGGGGAACTTGGCCTTTTGTAATTTATCTATCTTCAAAAAATGGCAAATGTCCTAAGTCTGAATGTAGCCATAAATTTATTTTGTTCATACATGTGAATGCTACCTAAAGAGGAAGTGTGTCATATGAAAATCCCTACTGACTTGCTATCCATCAAGACTGCAAGAGCCTCTGATGATCTCAGATACACAAGGCACCCTCAGAGAGCTTTATATTGTTTGGAATAGAATGACAGTTAAACATTCAATCCTATAGGCATGGAAGTGCTAAGGCATTAGAAACACATACTTAATTTAGAATGGCCAGGATCAACCTGGGTGATAAATAGCAGACATCTGAAAAAGCAGAAATTGCTGTGGTTAAGAGAACAGAAGGTCATCTGTTTGATGGCCCTATGAGAAGAAATACCATGGTAAGTTGAAGGAGAGAGAAACCAATAAGGACAGCGAAACAAACCCAGTGTGACTCAAAGAGGGGAGAGGTGATCATGGTCCTAATGGTAGAGGATCTCATACATCCATAAGGAATTTGATACTTAGTGCAAATCAAATGGGAGATGTTGAGAGCTTGTGTAAGTTGATGACAGAGACAAGTGTGAATTGCACTGTGCTTGGGAGAAATGTTTTATTTGAGCCAGCTCTTGTTGGCATGGGCAAGCACCTCTTACTTGAGAACATGGAGAACTTCTAGTGAAAATTATTGGAGGCTCAAAGTTGGACTCAACCTGAGCATTTGCACATTGGAAATTGGCAAACATCCCAATGAATGTTTTGGTTTTGTTGTTTGAGTTCTGATGTTGTTGTTGGAAAGACATTTTATCATCCCACCACTGGAACAGATGTAAACAAGGCAGGGATAAGCAGAAATGTGTTGCCTGGACTCTGGTGACCATATTGGGGAATGAAGGCGGAATTTATGTTTGAAAAACGTTTAGGGATGATTTCTCCTTGTGAAGTATATACAGAGCTTGACAGGAGGCATAGTATGTACCAGGCTCACAGCAGCCCATTATTCCCCTTGACAACCTTCAAGCAGCTCTAGCTTGAAAACGAATCTCAAACCCTTCAAACATCCCATTCCACCTTCACTCAGACAACTTGCTTCTCAAGAAAATGGGTGTTATAAATCTCACCATAGACTCTTCCTGAAAAAGTGAAGAACACGTACCTCAATTTTGATAATACTATCAGCATCATGAAGCGAGTGCCACTTTATGTCCAGATGTCCAGAGGCTGTGCTGTCCTCATCTGGTATTTATTTCCGATGTCCTCCTAGCCGCTCAAAGACAATATGAATACCAAATGGAGAAGGCAAGTTGGACATTAAACTATATGTCCTCATGCAGTTTTGCAAGGATGACTTTTCTCCAGGGTAATACTGAAGCAGATGTTACGATTCTGTGAAAGTTTTATTTGTAATTTTATGAGATCAGAAAAAAAATTCCATATGGAATGTTCTCTTTGGTTTTCAGGAAGAATTATATATAGAAGAGAAAGGTAAGAAACAGAAAGGGAAAGGTTGTTTATTTTGTCTAATTCTGTTGCTAAGAAGACATATTATTTGTATCCTGGCTCTAAATTTCTCATTTTGAATATAGAACAGATATTTTTTCCTGTTCTGTTGGATGACAGAGGTTGAAGCACTTCAGCAACGGTTGGCCTTTCGGTGACGGAAAAGCCATATCATGTCATTTTTACACTCCAAGGATGATTCCTTTTAGATAGAGTGAAGTGTCAGGAATGGGGCCTTCTGACAGCAGGGTGAAACTCTCACATTTAAAGAATTCTCACCAGAGGTGTTTGTAATCTCCCTCTATTTTTCCCTTCTTCAGAAAACCTGTTTGAAGATAAAGCAGAGTGTAGCCTGTGCCCTGTCAGCTTCCTGCAGAGTGTTAACTCAAAAAACCCCCATCAGTCACAGAGGACACCATTTAACAAGTTCCTGGTGACCAGGAATGAGTTCCAGATCACCTTCTGCAGTATCTGGTGGGCTTGGTCAGCTGCCACAGCCCCCTAGTTATTCGTTCCATGCACAGAAGGCAGCATCTATCTTCAGGTTTAACGCTTTCCCTAACAAGGTCCAGTATTATTGTGTACCTGTAGCTTCTTTAGAAAGGCAGCAAATGACTTTGATAATGTCAATAAAATAAGAATATCATGATATCTTCCTTAATAGACCTAGTGTCTTCAGCATGGGTTGTTAGAAGTGCTAAATTTTACTTTTGGTATAAAGGGTAAATCAGATTTCCTAAGTGCAGTATTATTTTATTTAGAACAAATTAAAAAAAAACACTTCACATTGCACTTTATGCCAAGGTGTTGGGGTTCTGATGCTGGAAGGTCTTTCCTCTCATGGAGCTCATATTCTTAGAATGATTTGAAATATTGCCTCCTGAAAGATGTGTTGTTGAACAGTTTTGTCTCTTCTGTAAGGTTCCTTCTAACATTTTAAAAAGAATTTTTTTTTTATTTTGAAATACATCTAGTTTCTAGAAGGGCCACAAAGATGGTGCAGTGGGTTTTCTGGTCCCCCTAAGTTGACATCTTATGTCTTGCATAGTCAAATGATCATCGAGTCCTCTAAGATTGGTATAACAGCATTCACGGGTCTATGGATGGTATACATGTTCCCCACTATCTTTTTGCTGTTGGATTGCAGTAGCCTGGATATCACATTGCAGGCAGTTATTATATCTTCCTGTATGTCTTCAATCTGTGGCAATTTCTCAGTTTTTTCCTTTTCTTTTTTTTTTTCTTTTCTTTTTTTTTTTTTTTGACAATCTTGAAGACTATTGGCCAGACCTTGTAGAGCGTCCTTCAACTTAAAATGCTTTCGTATTTTCCTATCATGAGACTGAAACTAGGGATTGGAAGAAATGTGCAGAGAAAAATCTTCTCCTCACCTTATGAAAAGGATCATGATATCAACATTTTACAAGGAGAAACACTCACCTTGGTCGCATGCTTAGGATCAACCCACCAGCTTCTTCCTCCGACGGCACTGCCCCTCCCTTTTTATTATCCCTCCGTTCTCAAAACTGAATCACAGAGTACAAACTGCACTCAGTGATCCTGTGCGTGTGTTGTGCTTCACTTCTCAGAGTGGGGAAGGAAGAAAATTTGTTACAAAAGCTGTTGAGGTGCTAAAAGCAGCGTTTAATAAAAGCCTTTTCTGAGTCCCCGCCTACCTTCTGTGTCTCTTTAATATAACCTCCTTCAGTGAATATTACAATAGTAGTTCCTGCTGTAGAGTTGAAATAGTCATTTTTTTCTATTTTTCTTCACCATCTATTAACTGTAGTTTGTTAATTTTAACTCTGCAGGGAAAAGCTGTTCTCTTTCAGTTTTTTTTTTGTATGTGTGTTTTTAAACAAATATTTGAGCTGGTATGGTATTATGTATGTTATTCTTTGGGTTCTGGTACAGTCTTATTATTACATATTTTAATGTTCACATTGCCCCAACTGTGACCGCTTCATGCTTTGCTGGATCCTCTGCTGTTGCTCACCATGCAACCCTGCCACTGGCTGCTGCAAGTGCTTTCACTCTGTCTGGCGGCCATTTCCTTGTAGGCAACTCTATATGAAGGTCTGTGATTAGCAAACTTGGGAAAGAAAGCTGGGGGAAAGGTATTGTTCTCACTCAGAGAATTACTCGCACATGTGTTTGAAACCATCAATAGTGGTTTTGCTGAGCACAAGTGATAGCCGTAGCGGAGAATACAGGCGCTGTTCATGTTGGTGAGTCTGTTTATACGTTACTAATAAGCATGTGTTTCCTAAGTGAGATACCACACACGCTCATCAGTTACTTCACTCCTCAAAACTTCTGTGTGAGCCTCGTAACGTGTCCTGTAAACAAGCCTGATTAGCAATTACGTGTTGAGCTTTATCTGTTCCCTTAGCAGCATTCACTTGGTCATGGGAAGAAGGGGAGGATAGGTCGTTCCTTGGACAGAGGACACTCATGCATGGATTTCTAGGATCTCTGAGAAACAAATTGGAGATAAGGAGAAACAAACAAACAACCTTAACACACTATCTACAGGAGCAAAGTAGACTAATAGAACAAACCGTCCAGAAAAGAACAGAAAGAAATCAAGCTGAGTTCCCTCTGGAGGCAATTATTCCCCTTGGGAAGCACGCTCTTCCCAGGGATAGGGAGCCCACCTGCTGAAGGGGAGGGCCATGCTCAAGAAAAAGAAGTAGTTAAGAACAAGCACCGTAATTCAGGGATAGACTTTTTTTAAGTATCTTTTTTTTTATTTTTCAAATATAAATTAGAATCAACGTTGCTTCACACGTCAATCCCAGCTCCCACTCCCACACCCTCCCACCAAACTCCCATCCCCCTCCCCCAATCCCCACTCCTTTCCCCAGGGGGTTGAGGCCCTCCATGGGGGTATCCAGAGTTAGTCATTTCATCCAGGGCAGGGCCTAGGCCTCCCTCAAGAGTCCAGGCTGAGAGAGCATCTCTCATTGTGGGATAGGCACCATTTGTATGTCAGGGATAAATACTGATCTACTGCCCAAGGCCCCATAGATTGCCTAGGCCTCCTCATTGACACCCACATTCAGGGGGTCTGCATCAGTCCCATGCTGGATTCCCAGACATCAGTCTGGGGTTCGAGAGCTCCCCCTTGTTCAGGTCAGCTGTTTCTCTGGGTTAAACAAGTCCAGTCTTGACCCCTATGCTCATCAGTCCTCCCTCTCTGACACTGGGTTCCTTGAGTTCAGCTCAGTGTTTAGCTGTGGGTGTCTGCCTGTGCTTCAATCAGTCATTGGTTGAAGGTTCTGTTTTCCAGACTCTCTGGCAGTGGGACTGTAGGCTGGCACTCCCCAGATCCATGTCTTTTTAAAGTACATTTTTTGAGATTGTAATTACAACACTTGATTTTTTCTTATCCCAAACCATTCCATGTATCCTGCCCCTGCTTTCAAATTCATGGCAGGCCTCTTTTCCTCTCTCTCTCTCTCTCTCTCTCTCTCTCTCTCTCTCTCTCTCTATATATATATATATATATATATATATATATGTGTGTGTGTGTGTGTGTGTGTGTGTGTGTGTGTGTGTGTGTGTGTGTAATGTGTGTGTGCATTCCTAAGTACACAAATACCATTTGCTCAGTCTGTGTAGTATTACTTGTATATATACATTTTCAGGGTTGACTGTTAGGTGTTGGAGAACCAATTGGTGTGCTCTTGCCTTGGGTAGACTATTTTTCTGCCCTTGGCATTCCTTATCTGCTGGCGTTTCTTTGTCCAGGGTTGGGCCTTAGACTTCTCTCCCTTACCTGCATTAGCATGTCTACTGGTGCTGTGCTTGCCCAGTCCGTGTTGAGGCAGCCATGTTGGCACAACTTCATGGCTGTTATCTTCTGAAATTTCTGGGAGGTGCAATCTCACAGTAAACTCTCTGCTCCTCTGGCACCTACAATCATCCTGCTCTATCTTCTGCAATGATCTCTGGGGCTTAGGGCAAGTAAGTATTGTGTTGTAGATGGATCAGGCAAGACTAGCCCCCCACAACTCTGCCTTTTGATCAATTGTAGTTTTCTATAATCATCTCCTTCTGAAGTTCCCTTCATCAGGGATGAAGACTATACTTATCTGTAGGTGTAAGGGCACATATTTAGAATGGAGTTAGCGGTTATACTGACTTAGTGAAGTGGTAATTGTAGGTTCTCCACTCAGATCCATGACTTCTAGGACCAGATATTTTTTTCCCTCCTGGTGAGGTTGTCTCAAGTCCAGTCAGAGGGCTGTGGGTTAACATCAAGGTATGGGTGCCAAAACCGTACCCTTAGGGTTACCCTGTCATGCTGGCCATGGTTTTGGCTCATTAACATCATAGCTGGATCTGGTTGTTTCCCTTATTTGGTAGTTTGCATGGTATCATGAAAGCTACTCTTCAAGGAGGAGGATTTCAGGTCCGATCAAGTTTAGGCGGCCCTTGGGCCCTGTGTCTAAAGTGCATGATGTCTTCAACAATAGGAAATTACTTTCCACTTCTTGGGGGCAACCAAGGGTATTTGCAATAGTCTTTATGTTTTTGGAGTCTCTTGGAGAGACACGATCAACAACTCAAAAAAGGGCTTCTCATGCCCAAAGTTGGAGTTGTTAGATGATCTGTTGCTTTTGGGGAAAGTGTTGTCAGCCCAGACAGGAAAATTTCATTTAAATTATGTGCATATATTTACACCCAACTTATGTGTATTATAAGTATTTTAGGTAGATAATTAATAGTATCATTATTTATGCATTTCTCAGACATGAACATTTGAGTATTTGCTTGTGCTGATATGATCCTATTCATCTGTGCATGTACAATAAATTTCTATTAATATATAGAAGCTTCTGCAGTGTCTGGATTCAGGAACATCTTGCTTCAATATGTAGACACAAAACCTCTTGGATGTCTTAAAGATGATGTTAGGATTTCTAACTCTTGGGGGCTTTTAAGTTACAAATTATTTAGGCACCAAGTGTCTGTAGGCTCACCCAGAAACATTACAACTTGCAATTTTACACGTTATTTTATTTTATTTTATTTGCCGAGGAAGAATGAGGCAAAGACTCCGGAAGAACATGTCTACATTAATGTATACATCTGGTAGATTCAATCAAGCAGAGAAGATGGACAAGTATACAGGAGTATCCCTGCCAGAGAATTTGAGAACATACCTCCTCTGTGTCTAATAACATATATGAAGTGTAATACAATATGGTGTAATGAATTTCATTTATCTACTGTAATGGCTGGGTCAGAAAAGACCACATTTTGACAGAGCACCATAAAGATAAGTATCTGAGATAGCTGATTAAAACACATGATATCACAAGAAACTGCCTTCCGAACATCATTTTTGGAAACAAGAAGAAACCACTTACACGTAAATCAAGCACTTAAAAAAATGTAAGTGTTTTTTCTCTTGGCTGTGTATGTAGGCTTTATCTCTCTCATACTCCCCATTCCACATGTAACATTGCTGCAGTTCTCTGTCTGCTCACCTGCATCCAATACAAAGTTTTCCTTCAAGTAATTTTGCCTATCATCCATCTATTTGTCTATCTATCTATCTATCTATCTATCTATCTATCTATCTATCATCCATCTATCTATCTATCTATCATCTATCTATCTATCCATCCATCTATCTATCTATCTATCTATCTATCTATCATCTATCTATCTATCCATCCATCTATCTATCTATCATCCATCTATCTATCATCTATCATCTATCTATGTGTCTATCATCTGTATACTAATAGCTCTCTATACTGATCACTTAATGGGCTGTTATCATTATTCAGAATGATAATGAATAAAAATGTGATCTTTTTGTATTACAAATTACAGGTTTATATTCTTGGATTATAGAAAATTTGTTTTGAGATAGGGTCTCTTGTTTTCTAGTCTGACACAGAATTTGCTTTGAAAGCTGAGGTTGAGTCAAACTTTATGATGTCCCTGCCTGTGTCTAAAGTGCTCAGATCACAGTTGCTCAGCATCTCACTGCTTTTGTGAGGTCCTGGGTACTGAACTTAGGGTTTTGTGCATGCTATACAAGCATGTTTTCAGCCTACCTGTACCCTCAGCTCAGATGATTTCTATTTTCATAAGAACTAGACAAAGCTCTTCATTTCTCATCATTTGTAGTCCCTTTCTCTCCATTTAAGTAAAAGATTTCCTGGCCCTTCTCATCTTTAAAAAAATAGTTCTTGAAACAGGAAAATAAAGAAGCAAAACAAAACCAGGACAGTCTATAAACAAGAATGAGAGACTTATTAACAGCCTCTTCTTTAAATTACAGTTGCTGGTTTGGGAGGTCTGGCTCCAAAGGAGTCTACTTATCTAATGAAGTAGCTTTCATAAATTGTGACTTAACATTACCCAGGGATCTGGCTAAGTTTCATACTGACACACATCTTATTACTGTTAACTGGAATTTCAAGGAAACAGACATTTGCCTGGTTTTGATCACATAGCCTCAATTTCCAACAGTCACATTTAGATTAGGAAGGTTTAAATTACAAATTTCGTTTAATATGTGAATGTCACAATGATAAGAAGTCCATAAATATAAGCACAGAATGCACTAGAATACGATTATGCGCTTACACGGGAAACTCCAGGAACAACAGCCCCTTACATTTAGTTCTGCATGGGGGGAATTTCTCTGAT